TTTTCTTCACAATTTCTATTTAACATACTGGAAAAAGGTATAAATATAAAACATAAAATGTGCCATAATTAAACATTGTTTTATGTACCAACACGTTACACAAACAGTAACTACATTAAAATATGCATCATTTTAGAAGAAGTGTGAACTTATTTTAGAACTTATTTTCATTTAGGAAATCAAATAAAAAAACATGTTATTTGTCCAGGAGTGCTTCAAACCTTTTTTGCGTTAGCCTGTATACGTTAGTACAGGAATCACTAAACAGTGCTTCCCCAGAACTAAAACACACTGATAGTATCAGCTGTTTAACATATCTTCCTTATCTAGAAGGAAAATTCATGCTATGGCAAAATAATCAGTAAACGCTGATCTCAGGTTTTAGAGCAAAATCGTCTATCATGGCTGTATATTATTTAAAAGTATATCATTGACAGGATTAGGCCTAAAGTCTATTTCAGTAACTATACAATAAAAATATAATATTCCTATACAATCCCCTGACATATTTTTCTGCATAATCCAACTGCTGAGATGTAAACAGAGTCATTCAGAGTGGTTTGGTGTGAAACGCTCTGTTCTAGAGAGTGAGAATTGTTCACAGTGGTGGTGAAAGGAACCAGACGTCCACCTCTAAAAGCTCCCTCACAGAAAGTTACTACATGAAATGGTTATGAATTCACTGCCTCAGACATTGTTTTACCATAGGTTTGAAAAGATTTTGGCCAAAAATATCTTCTTTATTTTAACCCTCCGGTCATCTTGCAGGTCAAATTGACCTGTTTTAAAATTTAAAAATATGGGAAAAATATTTTTAAGCATTTTTGGAGCATGAAACCTTTTCTTATGGCTCATTTAGTGTGATTTGAATTAAAAGCGTCAGTTTGACCCGGAACAGACGTTTGTATTAATCGACATGCCCCAAAAGTCTAAATAAGAACATAAACAACTATGTTGAAAGTCTAGCACAGAAAAAAAAAGTTTGAAAATGATTTTTTGAATGAAAAGTGAGTGAATTATTATAAGTGAAACACATTTTTGACTATTTTTCAGATGGTTAAACATGCATCAGGTCAATTTGACCAGGGAGCATTATTGCTGTTCCTTACAACTGAACATATCAGGAGGGTTAAAAATGAATATGACATAAGGGTACATGTGGCTTGTTGTGAGGCAAAATAGTCCCCAAAACGTATACAATCAAATGGTTGATTGTAGAGGCTCAGATTTCCTTACAGTGGTGGTGATAGGAACCAGGGGTCACCATGACTACAACACAAATATAGACATTTTATTTACTATCCAAAACCACCAGTGAACCTCCACGAGTCTTCTGAGTTTATATGGAATGTTGATGATGGTAAAATATTGGAAAATCTGACAAAATAAGTTTTCACTGGGGACTATTTTGCCTCACAACACCCTCCATATACCCCTCCACCATGAATGGATTAAAAAAAATGTTTTAGTCCAAAAGCAACTAGCGTAAAACAGTGTCTCAGGCATGAGGCAGCATATTCATAACTATTTCATGTGGTAACTTTCTATGAGGGAGCTTTTAGAGGTGGAGGTTCCTATCACCACTCTGAACGAGGTTTCTTTAAAAAGTGACCATGTAGGAGGTGCTATAAACAGATATACTTGGATCTTCATATGAAGATTTTTTCCAACATGCATTCATTTTAAATTAGTTATAATTACTGGCCAAAAGCTGTTTAAACTGACTTGACCAACACCCACATCACTAAAACTGTCACCTAAACCTCCCACACATTTCGAACCATCCTTCCGTTAGAGCAGCAGTATATCTGTAGCCCTCAGGACTGACAGATGGTCCAGTTAGACCTGTCCAGTGGCCGCTGACTGGATGAATGTGTGGGCAGCCCCCCCTAAATCCCCAGAGAATCCTAACTGTGAGCTTTATCAGCACGAGTTTCAGGCAGTTCCATCGCACAGGACGTGAGGGACTTCCTCCGAGGGCCTGAGTTTGCCCTACGCCCACCAAAACCCCCCAAAACCCACCAATTATCACATGGAAAAGCCTCAACCCTGCACATCACCTCACTGACAGCACAGAAAAGAATCAAAACCAGCAATACAGACCAGTTTCTCTGGCTTGGATTAAGCCTAGTCTTGGGCTAAACTATAGTGCTAATTGTTATTCACCACTGGAAACCTATCATGGCCTAATATGGCTTTGGGTCTCGTCTTAATCTGGCCTTTAAAATGGGCTTAATCAGGGCCTGGGAAACCATCTGAAAACCTGCCATAGACTTCAGTCATAAACAGAGTCATTCTGAGTGGTTTGGTGTGAAATGGTTCAGTTTAGAGAAACTTACAGACTCAGATTTCTTTACAGTGGTGGTGATAGGAACCAGACGTCGCCATATCTACAACACAAATATAGCCATTCTATTTACTATCCAGAACCACCAGTGAACCTACATGTTCTGAGTTTTTATATGTAATATTGATGAAGGTAAAATAGTGATAAATCTGAAATAATATGTTTTGGGGACTATTTTGCCTGACAACCATAAACATATACCCTTACGTCATATTTATTTTAACCCTCCTGATATGTTCAGTTGAAAAGAACAGCAATATTGCTCCCTGGTCAAATTGACCTGATGCATGTTTAACCATCCGAAAAACAGTTAAAAATGCATTTCTTTCCATAAATATTATCTTTAGCTCAATTATTACCAATTTAATCAATATTTAGTGCAATTAAGTTTTTCACCCATTACAAATCAAAGTTAAATTATAATAATTCACTCACTTTTCATTGAAAAAAATCATTTTCAAACTTTTTTTTTCTGTGCTAGACTTTCAACAGTTGTTTATGTTCTTATTTAGACTTTTGGGGCATGTCGATTAATACAAACGTCTGTTCCGGGTCAAACTGACGCTTTTAATTCAAATCACACTAAATGAGCCATAAGAAAAGATTTCATGCTCCAAAAATGCTTAAAAAGATTTTCCCCTATTTTTAAACTTTGAAACAGGTTAATTTGACCTGCAAGATGACCAGAGGGTTAAAATAAAGAAGATATTTTTGGCCAAATCTTTTCAAACCTATGGTAAAACAATGTCTCGGGCAGTGAATTCATAACCATTTCATGTAATAACTTTCTGTGAGGGAGCTTTTAGAGGTGGACGTCTGGTTCCTATCACTACCACTGTGAACAATTCTGACCCAGTAAGTTTCTCTAGAACAGAGCGTTTCACACCAAACCACTCTGAATGACTCTGATTACATTTTAATGACTGAATTATGCAGAAATGATAAACAAAGGTGGAATTCCCCTGTAAGAACTACTGGAGAATGGATGGAAATGGGAGCTACCATTTCAGAGATATGAGGTTTTGTTACCACAACAGTATCTCTTTCAACTGAGATCAGACTTTATTGCCTCATACAGAATTTCACAGGTAAAGAGCTGCGCTGCTTGTTCTGCGATGGTTTTCCTGTTAATATATAACCAGCAGGTAGTGTGTCATGCTGTTACCTGCCCAGCTTACTCTCCGCACCCCACACCCAGCCCAGCGTCAGGCTCAGTCCACACTGCGCCTCGACTCGTCAGACTGGTTTCTAGGAAGCACCCCTGAAAGCTAATCCCGCTCTCTAGTCTTTAACTTCCACAGCGAGTCAAAGGGCAGCGCAAAGTCTAACGCGCGTTCTGAGGCTTCCGTCCGATCCCTGAACGCTCTGAACGCTCTGAACGCTCACGTGTTAGCTTTCAAACAAAACCCCTCACTGGCCGTCGCACCTGCCGAGCACACACCGTCATCTGGATCAAACACCATCATTAGGACAGACTCTGATCCATTACAGCAGCGACAGGGTCTATATATGTTACACTGTACATGACCATAGAATATTATGTCCCTGGAGGCCCACAGAGGAGGACAATACACTGATAAAAAACATGTTTTTACTGGAATCTAACTTATTTATTAAGCAACACCATTACTGTCCTTTTTGTTTCAAGTGGAGTCAAAACCAGAATTTTAAATGTAAAACAGTCAGTCACACCTGCTGAATCACCACCACTCACACATTCTACACGGAGGACAAACCAGACTTGACAACAAAGTTATTGTACATAGTTTTTCTGTAGTGTACCAGAATTTTTAGTACTACTGCCACAATTTGTATTGATTTTGTATGTATGTATGTATGTATGTATGTGTGTGTGTGTGTGTGTATAAATATATATATATATATATATACACATACATATATATATATATATATATATATATGGAGAGAGACCATTGAAAAGTATAATAATAATAATAACTTATACAAATGTTCCCATTATTTGGGAGATGTCTTACTCTATATTTCAAGAAAGAGAGAGAGCTAGAGAGAGAGAAATAAATACATAAACAGATAAATAAACATAAATAGACAGATAGACAGACAGATAGATAGATAGATAGATAGACAGGCAGACAGACAGACAGACAGACAGATACATAGATAGACAGGCAGACAGAGAGACTGACAGACAGATACATAGATAGACAGATAGACAGATAGATAGATAGAGACAGAAAAATAGACAAATAAACAGATAGACAGACTGACAGACATATTGATAGATGAACAGACAGACAGACAGACAGATTGTATTATTGTTTAATTGTTTGATTAATTATCTCTCTCTCTCTCTCTGTGGTAGATGTAGCATTTTTGGATTTCACTGTGTTTACTCCTTCATTAATCCCCTCTCTCTCTCTGGTTACCTCAGTGGGCTGTATGTTGATTTATTGATTATTTTACTGTGTTAACTCTGATTAATCCTCTCTCTCTCTCTCTCTCTGTGGTAGATGTAGCATTTTTGGATTATTTCATTGTGTTTACTCCTTCATTAATTCTCTCTCTCTCTCCCTCTCTCTGTGGTAGATGTAGCATTTTTGGATTATTTCACTGTGTTTACTCCTTCATTAATCCCCCCTCTCTCTCTCTCTCTCTCTCTCTCTCTGGTTACCTCAGTGGGCTGTATGGTGAAGGCCTCTGCTATCTTGCCGTACAGCTCTTTGACGTTGCTGAATCCCTCTATCCGGCCGGTGGCGCTGCCGTGAGCGAGCTGCGTGTGGAAGACCAGCCGGGGCCGGAGCGCTGAGGCCGGAGGAGCCACCCCGCCGCCGTTCAGCTCCGGCTTCCCCACACCGCCCACCTCCTCATTCTCCACCAGATGAGAGCTCTCCCGCGACTTGTTCTTCTTCCTCCTCAGCCCCAGAGGCATGGCTGCTCTCTCTCTCTCACTCTCTCACTCTCTCTCTCAGGCTCAGGTGGGGCTACGAGAGGCTCATTGGAAACAACAACCTGTAGCAAAAAAAACCCTCTTTCCTGTCCTCTCTGCTCCGGAGTCGGGAAAAGGAGAGAAAAAGAAGAGTAAAGTGTTGAATTTGTCAGGGGAGTGTTGCTGCTCCTCCTCCTGCTGCTCCGGGCTCCTAAACTCTGGACGCGAAAACAATACTGACACTGTTTCCCCACAGGGCTCGAGCTCAGTGCGCACGCGCAGTGAGCCTGCCTACGTCATACTGAAACTCATTTACCTGCCTCAGGTATTCGAGTGTTCTGTTTTCTCGCCCAAAGGCAGAAACAATCGAACACAGATAGCTTATCTGGGTAGAAACAGCGTTAAATCACTCAGTGACGACGGTCTGCTCTGGTGAATCAAAGGGCAATCCAACCGAAGTTCTGGAAATTTCAGGATGAATCTATTGTTAAGATGTTAACTGTCAATCAGAGCGGTTTGATGAGGAATAGGTCATTCTAGAGAACCTGAGTCCAAAGTATTTATGGCTCTAAAAACTCCCTCACAGAAAGTTACTGCATGGAACAGTAATGTATATGTGTTTATGTGTTCATGTTGTCATGTGCCTCAGACTTTTACAGTAGTTTTGCAAAAAAGGCTTCGGCCTAAACCGTATTTCATAGCTGGTTAAGCAGAGTGTTAGACAAAATGTCACTTTTCATCACTCAGTTTTCACTTACAGCCCAATTTAATCATTTTTCATTCATTTCTGTCTTTCTTTATCCTTTGTAAATTACTTCAGTAAATAATTTTAACAGCAATCTTATAAATAAAGCTGGTTATACAGCTGTAATCAATCTAGCACAGTGTCAGCAACAACATAATTCAACAAAAAACATTTTATATTAGGCCTAGTCATTCATTTTTCTCTCAATTCCTTGTAATTGTAGCTTGTTTTCCAAAATAAAAGTCATTTAAATGTTCATTTAAAGTCTGTTTGAGGAGATTAAAAACTAGTCGGAAATCTGGGTGGTCCGAGGCGTACGTTATCAAGCCGGTTTAGGGTTACTGGTCATTGTGGATGGTAAATAAAATGGCTATATTTGTGTTGTAGACATGACGTCTGGTTCCCATCACCACCACTGTAAAGTGATGACTGTAGATTGTTCTAAGGCAAAATATTACCCAAAGAAAATGTATTTTTCAGATTTATGACTGTTTTACCATCATTAACTCTCCATATAAAACTCAGAAGACTCGTGTAGGTTCACTGGTGGTTTTGGACAGTAAATAAAATGGCTGTATTTGTGTTGTAGACATCAGGACGTCTGGTTCCTATCACCACCACTGTAAAGAAATGACTCTGTAAGTTTCTCTACAATGAACCATTTCACATCAGACCACTCTGAACGACTCATCAACTAGATTATGGAGAAATTTTGAGAAATCAGTGGACGTCCCATTAACTCTTACATTGCCGCATTGCCCCTTCAGCCTGGCTACACTGCCCAGCTAAACTGTAAAGAGCTTGTTCGACAGAAACTCCTGCAGTGCTGATTTCCCTCTTGCAGTATTTCAGCAGGACTTAAATGAACCCTCTAGATCAGGGCTTCTCAACCACTGGGCCTTGGACCACAAGTGGGCCATGAAGCACCCTATAGTGGTCCTCGGGCCAGTACTGAGGAGGAGCCAATGGTCCACAGTGAGCCAGTCATGGTACTTTGTCATAAAAATCAGTGTAAAAAGTTGACTTAATAATAAGAAAGAAATCTAAAATGCTGTAAAACGGTAAACAATATTTACAGTTCATGCAACAGTGGTGAACAAAGCAGCTTCAACTATGTTTTTGCATCTTGTCTCTAGAAACAAATGCACTTTCCTTAAGTTTCAGTTAGCTCTTCGTCTGATTTCAGGTATAAAACAAGCTTATGTTCGCCTAATCTGTTGATATTAAATGAGCGATGTACATGACATTTTGTGCAACCTGAAAATTACTCTATTGAAAATTTCCCCAAAATGATTTTTTAAGCAAAAAAAAAGAAAGTTTTATTGTTTTCCTGTGGGCCTTCATGCTTTCTAGTGATAAGGTTTTTAGGAAAGAGCGCCATACATCCCCTCTCACTGCAATAACATAGCATAACTGTTGGTAACCAGTGTAGCTGTTGGTAATTAGTGTAACCTTTGGTAACTAATGTCTTTTGCCACCAATAGTTTCCATTAAGGACGGGCCATATATGAATATAACATCATGATACTTGTAGGCATTTTCATGGTACACGATATGTAACACATCAGTACATTTTCCTGAGGTTTGTAAATAAGGGGAGATATTGTTCAGTGTTAGTTAGGGTCAATCAGCTACTTGTTACTCTAAAGTTACAACAATCAGGCATAACATTCTGACCACCTCCTTGTTTCTACGCTCATTGTCCATTTTATCAGCTCCACTTACTGTATAGGTGCACTTTGTAGTTCTACAGTTACAGACTGTAGTCCATCTGTTTCTCTGATACTTTGTTAGCCCCCTTTTACCCTGTTCTTCAGTGGTCAGGACCCCCATGGACCCTCATAGAGCAGGTACTATTTGGGTGGTGGATCATTCTCAGCACTGCAGTAACACTGATGTGGTGGTGGTGTGTTAGTGTGTGTTGTGCTGGTCTGAGTGGATCAGACACAGCAGTGCTGCTGGAGTTTTTAAACACCTCAGTGTCACTGCTGGACTGAGAATCGTCCACCAACCAAAAATATCCAGCCAACAGCATCCTGTGACCACTGATGAAGGACTAGAGGGTGACCAACACAAACTGCGCAGGAGCAGATGAGCTATCGTGTCTGACTTTACATCTACAAGGTGGACTGACAAGGTAGGAGTGTCTAATAGAGTGGACAGAGAGTGGACACAGTGCTTAAAAACTCCAGCAGCACTGCTGTGTCTGATCCACTCAGACCAGCGCAACACACACTAACACACCACCACCACGTCAGTGTCACTGCAGTGCTGAGAATGATCCACCACCCAAATAGTACCTGCTCTGTGAGGGTCCATGGGGGTCCTGACCACTGAAGAACAGGGTAAAAGGGGGCTAACAAAGTATGCAGAGAAACAGATGGACTACAGTCTGTAACTGTAGAACTACAAAGTGCACCTATATAGTAAGTGGAGCTGATAAAATGGACGATGAGCGCAGAAACAAGGAGGTGGTCAGAATGTTATGCCTGATCGATGTATACAGTTACTATATTGGTTGTTGTTGTTTACAGGCTCTCTGTAACTGGTCTAAATCTGGCTGTTTAAATGCTACATGCAGTTGCAACACTCAAAAGTGCATTGTAACACAATTTATCACAACAACAAGCTGTTCAGCTGTTTTTAAGTTTAGTTTTGCCTACATTAGATGATGTCATTATGAGCCGACAGCCAATCGGCTGCTTGTTACTACACAGTTTATGCAATTACTTCACAGTGGCTGTTGTTTACAGGTTCTCTGTAATTGGTCTTTTTAATGATCCATACAGTTCTTCAGTGTTCTAGAAATACTGATGATGCCCAAAAGTGTACTGTGACGTAATTTATCACAACAATTGTCCACCTTTGACTCTGTTCAGCTGTTCCTGTAAGCTTTGCATTGCGTACATTTCACCAAGACCAGCAGCAAGCGATTCAATTCGATGCGAATCTTCTTCGTACTTCCCACTTTAAATATCACACCAGATGCAAACAACTGTGTATTAAACAGTTCCAAACATGATTCATTTACAGTCCTGATCAATCCAGCATTCGCCTGGCAGCTGCTCTGGTGCAGCCAGACATGTGGCGTCCCCTAGTGGACGTCTGAGTTTTCAATATGACCTTCAACATCTGGAGGAGCTGAACATCTGGTTCTAACATTTCCCGGCTGCAGTGTTCCAAACACAGTAGTTCATCATTAAGCAACAGCGTAGACCAGAGTGCCGTGAGCAGAAATCCATTCAGGACACTCGAATCGGCCACTTTCCTTTAAGTCAACCTTTTTGAATCAGCCTTCCAGGAATCAAGGCTGTGGTGTAGTGCTTGAGGCTCTCCCTCTTATGCTTCAGGCTCTCAGGCTTGTACTCGCAGCCTTTTAAAGTCCCAGGGAACAAAGGGTGAAACATTAAAAGTGCTTTTTATGAGACTGAAATTGAGTGCTATATTAAATATTCAGCAATGTTTGAGAAACAAGATAGAAAAATGTAAGAAAGAAGCTTAAAAATGGCTTATCAGACCGATCTGAGAACTCCGGGTGCGGCCAAATATTCCGATGATCTGTCAACACTCCCATCCTTCAGCGGCAGTGAAGCGGAACTAAACACAACAGTGTGGGTGGTGAGAAATGAGTGAGACGGGCTCTGCATATCGCTGCTGTCAGAACAAAACCTCGTATCTCCAAAACAGTAACTTTACAGGAGAAGCAAAAAACTTACTTTACTTTTAATGCAAGTCAATGGAATCAGACTTTTGTCCAAGTAATTCTGGGCCATTTCTTTCGGTGCAAGGATCATGAAATTCACACAAAATGTAAAGAACAACAGGCATTTTCAAACTACGTCAAAAACTGAAAAACAACAAAAAAGGAGATACGAGGTTTTGTTCCGACAGCAGCGATAAGCAGGTGGTCTATTGCTCGCTAAAAACATCAGGCTTTTATAAGGCGACGTCTTAAAGAAGCCTCTTTTTCACTTTATTGCCAGACTTGCCTCCAGAGACTGCTGGCATGGCCGGTTAAACGACTGGACAGTCAGGCAGACGAGCCGGCCTGACAGCTCAGTTATGCTTACTAGGTTAGTTTTCGCTTGGTGGTTAGCGTTCGCTCTGAAAGTTTCGGTAACACTTCACTATAGGGTTCTGTTCATAAGGCTATATGACACTTACATAAGCTTGTCAAGACAACTGACATAACCCTACATAAATGCTTATAATTGCTTATTCCAATAGGCACCATCTGTCATAAAGGCTATGTAGGGTTACGTCAGTTGTCTTAACAAGCTTATGCAGATGTCATATACCCTTATGAACAGTACCCTACAGTAAAGTTACCAATGTTTCTCCAACTCAGACACACAAAGGGACTGTATGGGAACAGCTATGTGGGCAGGACAGCCCACATCAGCCTCATGTTACTGCTTACACAAGTGCCACCCAAGATTAGGACAGTTTACAAAGAGGAGAGATGCATCGGCCATTAAGTGGACACCGGAAAGTTATTCACAGGACATTGTTTGTGCAAGATGAACACAGATTTAGGTTACCTGGGGCTTTAAAACCTATTCTGAAGCAAGAAGTAAAATCTACCGTTTCACAGTTTACATCAGGCAGTTCCTTTCAGTAAGAAAATCGTCGCTGTCTATAGAAACACATAGAAATAATGCTACTCTGTAAAACGTAGGAAACAGTCTCTTTCATTTCTCCGAGTGTTGTACTTGTGCTCAGTATTTTCTGCCCAAACGGCACGATTGAAGAGAGAAATGAGAAGATACAGCCACCGTGGAAAGAAGTCAAATGTCGATATTTACTTTCGGACACTGAGATTGCACTTTTTTGCACGTATGACCTTATTTCAGCATGCAACATATTTAAAAAACAACAAAACTAAACACTAAATATAGTTTAAAAAATAGAAATTGCACATTCTTTATGGGGGCGTAGCTGTGATTTGTCGACAAGGTCCAAAGGGAGGAGGTGAAAAGCAGTTCTCGGGACTTTATTGTTCGTTCAGTCCGGTCCCGTTTTTTTTACGAAGCTGGTAAGTGCCGTTTCAGGACGTCCTTGGCGTTGGACGGCAGGCTGTCCGGAAAGGTCACGTCAAATTCCACTATGAGATCCCCTCTTTGCTCCGGGTTTTTAGGGAAGGGCAACCCCTGTCCCGCGATTACCTTCCTCATGCCGGGTTTGATGACGTCGGTGATCTTCATGTTGCACGTTTTCCCGTCTATCGTCGACACGGTAACAGAGCAGCCGCACAAAGACTGGAACCAAAGAAACAGGAGAGGCATCGTCAGTCGTTTTACTGAGCAGACGTCAGGAAAATGAATAGATCTGATCATTTAAGATAGAAATCAAGTCTAACTGGGTGATAAGTTTCTAATTATTTCTGATTATATCATCAGTAATTTTAGGACACTGAACAACTGCATGAATAATAAAAAGAGATTAAGAAGCCGCACAGTTAAGGTTTCCCTCTATTATCAGGAGCTCATGAGTTTGAATCCTGATGATTCTGGGACTGAGCACTGGTTACTGCTAAACTGCAGCCCTCATGGCTTTCCAGGCTGCGCAAAAAGGCCAACTGATTTCTGGGAACTTAAAAAATAGTTCATTTTATTTAATAGTATCAACTCAACAAGAATAAACTCAACGAGTACTGCAGTAATATAATAATAATAAAATATTATATAATATATTACATTGTACAAATAAAAATGAAGTGTGGCTACGCCGTAATAACGCATGGTAACGAGATCCTAATTTGTGGCCACGACTTAGTAAGGCATGGGAACGAGATCATGCCTTATTAATAACTTAACTGTGGCCATGACTTAATTGTCTTGTTCCCATGCCTTACTAAGTCGTGGCCACGCAATATTTTTGTTTATACCGGATGTCACCAGCAGGGCTCCGTACAGTAATACTCTTATTTCATTGGTAACTTTTGGTTGGAAACAAAAAAAATCTTGAAATGCTCAACGGAAATTGATCCAATCAGAATTTTTTCTAACTTTTCTACCATTTATCTAGGTAGATATTGGCAAGCGAGCTCTCCTATTGGTTAGGACCTCAGGATCTGAACATCCTGAACATAATTCAGCAAGTGACAGTGGAATCAACCAGTTACGTTCTGATTAATAATAAGTCTGACCAATTTCATGAGAAAAAAACGTCATTCTAGACATTCTGGAAGTTCTACATACATCAGTGACTGTGAACGCGAGCCAGAGTCTAAGCAGGTTTCGGTTAGTCGTTAGGAATGGAAAACAGCGGCAGCAGCTCTAAGTCAGGACTCTTTACTGAAAGAGTCACTGTAAAGCTGATACTAGGTAGAATATGTGTTAATATAAGTCTGTTACAAGCTTCAAATGTTCATGCTTAACCTATAAAGGCTAAAAATGTTCACGTTTAATAGCGTTAGTCTAGTGCTAACATCCTAGAAAGTCCTTAGGGATGCTAGCAGAAATGAGCATTATCATCAAAAGTGTTTTATTCTTCTTTTTTATGAATAGTTTTCACATTTATGGCCTGAACTGAAGGGCTAGTTCCACTAGTCATTGGTCACAGCCCACTGTTAAATTCAATGTAGTAACACACAGACATAAAAATTAAAGCTAGCATTTTTAAATGTGATACTGCTGGTGTGTTGTGCCAGTTCCAACTTATTAAACCCAAAAAAACATAGAATTCTGTGTATCATGAAAAAGTACCAGTGATGAAATAAATGCTGAACTACTCATAGCAGTTTTTTCCATAATGATGTGAATTCAAAGTCTCATTCACGTCACTTTAGTGACAGAACAAGAATTCATACCATGGATATTGATTATAGACTATTACCTTTTAGAGCTGGTACTGTTAGCGTTGCCTAGTTTCACTGATCCATCCACGATAAAGGCAAAGCGGCCCTTAGAGTAAAACTGCTGGCTCTCACTTCCCACTGATTCTGCCGTACAAGGAGCTACTAGTAAGCCAAGATCAATTTAAGGGGGCGGATGCTCGTCTTTTGGCACCGCACAGCTGATTCAACTCACGTCTCTCGCTGCTCATACTTTGGATTACATAAGAGACGCGCTGACTGAAGGTAGATGTAATAACTGCGGTCCCAGTAGTGCTTCATCTCATGACTGTACAAGGCTCTGCGCTGTACAAGAATAGCCGTAATCGAAAGGCCTACAGTTCAGTTTCTTTATGGTGCACATATTAGTAATGCAAAGTGTGACGTGCAGAACATTAAGAGCTGAATATAAAATGGCTGAAAAGACTATACTTGTTTTATTGTGCACTGATATTATCTCAGCCTATCCACATCCTCTGTTAGTGGTCATGAAGTACCTCTGCACTGCACATCCACTTTAAGCTCATCAAGGGTTTGGTAAGGAGAAAGGTTGGTTTCTCATTTGCCAGCTTCTTATTCCAATTTTCCTGTTCCACCTTAAATGGTGGAGCAGTCAGAGTAGATCAGAAGAGGCTGGCTTCAAATCTTACAATTCCACCTTAAATAGTGCACCTTAGTTTGTTAGTTTGGCACCTGTTGAGCCAAACTCACTGCTGCCAATTCCAGCCTCTTCTGATCAGTAGTGTTAGATGTGTTAAAGGGCTATTTGGCATGCGCCCGTCCCCTACGCCCCAATGATGGCTGCGAGAGCCAGCAGGAAGGCGGGGCCCAAACTCCGAGTGAGTGGGGGGCGGTGCATGAATCCCAAACACCACTGAGGGACGCGAGTAAAGGTGAGAAAAGGACGTTCATGACAGTCATGAGAGGCATGAAGGCGGGATGCGAGTCCCGGGACTTCGAGCCTCTCATGGTAGTCATCGTTGCCGTCCCCTCTCTGGCGACTGACGTCCTCCTCCCGCCGTCACTCGTGTCCCTCGGCGGTGTCAGGGATTCGCGAGCCGCCCCCACTCACTCAATTCTCACCTCCCGTCCTTGCCGAGCTTCGCCCTCGCTCGGAGTTCAGGCCCAGCCTTCCTGCCAGCTCTCGCGGCTGTCAGCGGGGCCCAGAGGACGGGCGCATCCCATAGGCCCATATCCTATATTCAATTTTAAAATAGAATCTTATAACATTTATGTGGTTTATGTACCAAAAACTGCCATAATTCATTGCTACATGACCTCCGAACTAAACAGACGGTTTTTGTTACTGTGCCTTTAAGACTGATTTATGTAAATGAGCTCTATTCTTATTGTACTGAGCCTTATTCAAAAGTAGTCCAGGCTGAAACACTCCTTATAACTTGCATGCAGCATGAATGGGCAGGGCTAAACTGCCGTATGCGGATCCTCACCTGCCGCAAACTGACTCGCACAGGATAGACGATGTCGGATCCCTCTCTTCTGAAGTGGGCGTGGGGTTTGTCCTTGATGACGAAGACGATGTCAGCCGGGATGGTGTTGGGCGACTCGTCGCCCTCGCGCGGGAACGTGATCTTTGTGCCCTCCTTCCAGCCGCGCTTGATCTCGATGGTGAGGATCTTGTCCTCCGTCCTCATGGTGCGCCCGTCCGGGTTCAGGCGCTTGCGGGATATCTTCATGCGCTTGGTGCAGCCGTGGAAGACCTCCTCCAGCGACACTCTCAGCTCGTGGTGGATGGGGGGGTCCTGCTTCCTGGTCCGCGGCTGTCCTCCCAGCCCCACGTGCCGGTCACCGCGGGGGAACCCGTTGATGTTGAAGCTGGTGAAGGAGCCGAAGGGGTCGCTGCCGTCCACCTCCATGTCGTCGTCGTCCCTCCCGTTCACCTTCCTGCCGAAAAACATCTCGAACGGGTTGGCGCCACCGAAGAAGGTGGCGAAGGTGGCGTGGGGGTCTCCGTGGAAGGTGTAGGTGAAGTTGCTTCCCTGTCCATCGGTGGGTCCTCCGCCTCCTTTCAGACCTGGAAATCATGAGATTTGGCTACATTAGTCTTGTGATTTCATTAGGCAACCTAAGCCTGTTGGTTTTTTTAGGTAACCTTTTTGAAAAGGGTTCTCTAAAGCACCAAAAACGGTTCTTCTATTGTTACAAGCTTGACACTGTATAGTATATAGCACTGCTTTTGTTAAATAGAACCTATACAGAGTGCTATATAGAACTCTTTTCAAAAAGGTTTTTATAGAGAACCATCTAAAGCACATTCTCCATCAATCTGAAGGACCATTTCATGATATAAAGAAAACTTTAATCATGCAAAGGGTTCTTGAGTATTCATGGTTCTATATAGAACCATTTTCTTTACTAAAGAACCTTTGAAGAACCATCTATTTAGTTATTTTCCCCAGCGGACATCTGGTTCCTGTCACCATCACTGTGAACAATTCTGACTCTAGAACGGAGCAATTCACACCAAACCACTCTGAATGACTCTGTTGACATGTTCACCAATTATGCAGAAATTCTGAAAAATTGGTGGAGTTCCCCTTTAAGCACACAGAACTGTATCATTTTTGTCCTAATGATTTGAACAGGCATGCATCATCTTGGTTTACCTTACATATGATCTTTGGCAATAAGCAGTGTCTTCTTCTATGGTGTTTTCACATTAATTGGGGTGCCTAAAGATTTGCATACAATACTACCATGTGGTCATATCCGTGTTATGGTTAGTTATAACTGGATATTTATGTATTTATCATACTTCATTAAACTAAAGGTAGGTTTTCAAGACAGGGATTAAGCCTACTCCTGGAAAACAGAGCAAAATTAGTCTGAAAATTAGATTTAGTTTTATTTGGATTCATCCCAACACAGTGTGCCAAATACTGAATGAAAATCATTATATTTACAGTTTTGCTATGTTTTTTTAATGTAGCACTTCTGGTTCTTTTTTCTCTGTTCCACCTGATCAGATGTCAGAAAAAATGAAAATCGTTACATACCATGTATCGTGAAAATTTCCTTAAGTATCGCGATGTTATATTTATGCCATAATCGCCCACCTCCTTCCCCTTCCGACACTTTTCAAGTGCCTGTCTGATGATGTTGATATATAAACATTTATAAAACACAGAAATTTGATAAATCTACCTGTAATGTGGTCAATCTAGTAAATCTGAATGTAATATTTATCTATAGAGGGATACAAATACATTAAAATGAATAAAATGCAGAAATTTTAGCGCAGTAGCCCAGTCGTCTAAACACTCAGCTCCTCTGGGGTGCAATAAATACATCAACATCAATATCAGTTTGCAATATCGATCAAATCTAAACATTTTTCCAATGCCAATATTCTATGATATTCTATTCATATGAAATACATAATAGAAGAAGTTGATGGGCCAAATCAAACCTTCTAGCAGGCCAACTTTGGCCCACTGGGCCTCACTTTGGGAGGTCTTATCTATTTTAAGATCTTCGAGCTTTACTTTCCATCTTAATCAGCACTGTTAACAACATAATTGACTTGGCTGAAGCCCTACACTCAAAATAAACGGTTCTTCAGGGGTCCTTTAATAAAGGTAATGGTTCTATGCTTAAATGGTTCTTTGCATGGTGAAGTGGTTCTTCAGCTTGACAGAGAATGTGTTGCATATTTTTCTACATAGAACCTTTTTGGAAATGGTTCTGTATAGCACCAAGAAGTGTTCTTCTATTGTTACAATCTTAACATTGAATAAGACATAACAATACTAGAACCCTTTTTGGTGCTATACAGAACCATTTTCAAAAAGGTTCCATATAGAAAAATATACAACACATTCTCCATCAAGGAACCATTTAAGCATGAAATGGTTCTATATATACTCTTAAAAAAATGTTGTAGATGTAAAGACAATGGTTCTATACACAACCATGAACACTCAAAGAACCACTTGCACGCTTTAACGGTCCTTTGCATGGTGAAATGTTCTTCAGATTGATGGAGAATGTGCTGTGTACGGCTCTATATAGAACCTTTCTGAAAATGGTTCTGTATAGCACCAAGAAGGGTTCTTCTATTGTTACCATGTCATGCTTATAACAATAGAAGAACCCTTTTTGGTGCTATATAGAGCCATATACAACACACTGTCCATCAATTTGAAGAACCATTTCGCCACACAAAGAACCCTTTAAGCATGCCAATGGTTCTTTGAGTGTTCAGGGTTCTATACAGAACCACTGTCTTTACTAAACCCTTGAACTATCTTTTTTAAGACTGTACTGGATCAGGCAGCACAAAAAGCTAGAACAGGTGAAACCTGTGAGATTATGTTCATGTCAGTGACGCAGAGGTGCATCTTGATGTGACATGGCAGCTTAATTTCGGTGGGGTACCACAGCTGCCCCCTACCTGTCCCTTCCAGATCGTGCAGCACTGCATAGCTCAGTGACCAGCCAGCTCCCCAAAATGTAAGGATGTGCCAAGAAATACAAATTAAATAGGGCCATCAGTAACTGACGGCACTGATGGTGCCAATTCAGACACCTGTGTGGAGCAGATTATAGATAACAGCACATTACACTGACAACACTGAGACAAACCAAACCCTATATAGGCCTATTCTATGTTATATATTCAGTATCCTAAGGTTATATCATCACTAAAGTGATCCAAATTGTGCTAAAAGTCTCACCTAAACGCTAAAATAAGGGTTGTGAGCACGCAAACTAGGGTTTTTGAGCCTGTGTGTTGAAATAAGTGGTTTTGTTTTAGACTAAATGGGCTTTTTCACTAACTATCCGTTCCACCTTAAATGGTGCGGCAGTTACAGTCTGGCACCTGAAGCGCCAGAACGTAACTGCCGCGCCATTTAAGGTGGAACGGAGAGTTGGAAAAAAAACGCAAATAAATCTCTGAAAACGACGAAAATATGAGGCAGACACGACGACAAATGTTGCTGCCTGGCTGCTGCTCAAGCCTTTAAGCCAGCAGACATGGAAGAAGACACGAAAAACCGAGAAAGAGTCTTCATTCCTAACTTACCTTCCTCTCCGTACTGGTCGTATATCTCTCGTTTCTTCGGGTCGCTGAGGACCTCGTAAGCCTCGGCTATCGCCTTGAATTTCTCGCCGGCGTTGGGCGCCTTGTTTTTGTCCGGGTGCCATTTTAGAGCCTGTTTTCTGTACGCCTTTTTAATGTCCTCCTCGGCCGCTCCTTTCGAAATGCCCAGTATTTTGTAGTAGTCTTTCCCCATCTTGCCCCCCCGAGGCGAATTAGCCGGTTAGCCTGTGGAGAAAAACCGTTAACCGTTATGAGTGGAGGGTGATGGCAGGACGAAGGCAGCTAGCTGACTTCACTGTTAGCTGGCTTTTCTCCCTCTGCTCGTCTGTCTATATCGGAGGCGGTTACTCGATGCTGTGGCTTGTGTTGTACTCTGTTTTTCCTCTCCTCCTCTCCCTGGTTCCCCCTCTTTAAATAGCCATTCCGCCCTCCCTCGTAGCTACCAGCGCTGCACCCCTGGCTCTTTCTAGAAAGCTAACGCCAAACTTCACGTCATCTCCTACGTCCACATAGCTGAGTTCTGGATCCGACCACAAAAAGCTTTGGAGATCCAGGAATGATGGCCTCAAATGGCTACTAACACAAAAAAGATACCCCCTTTTTCCCCAGACCCAGATTCAGTCCAAACCCGGGCTAAACAGGCAAGAATAGGCTTAAAGGGGATTTCCACCCAATTCTCAAAATTTCTGAGTAATTCAGTTCTTAAGGTGTAAGACAGGGGTGGTGATAGGAACCAAGAACCAGGGGGTCATCATGTCCACAACACAAATATAGCCATTTTATTTGCTAGACAAAACCATCAGTGAACCTACATAAGTGTTCTGAGTTTTATATGAACTGTTGATGATGGTCAAATAGTGAGTTTTCTTTGGGGACTGTTTGGCCTTACAATGCCCTACAAGCACCCCCCCTGCCATGAATGGATTAAATAAATGGACTAAAATACATTTTAAGCCAAAACTTCATCACATAACATCTGGCTGAGAATACGTAACCATTTCATGTCATAACTTTCTGTGAGGGAGCTTTTAGAGGTGGACGTCTGGTTCCTATCACCACCACTGTGAACAATTCTGACTTGGTTAGTTTCTCTAGAACAGAGCGTTTCACACCAAACCACTCTGAATGACTTTAATTGACAATTAATTATGCAGAGATTTTGAAAAATTGGTGGAGTTCCCCTTTAAAGGGCAATTCCACTGATTTTCCCACAAGATTCCTGCTTAACTGAATCACTGAGATGTAACCTAAGCAAAGTCGTTCACTGTAAAATGGTGAAATGGCTCATTTTGTAGAGAAGCTTACTGGCTCTTACTGATTTCTGTACAGTGGTGGTGATAGGAACCAGGGGTCGGCATGCTTACAACACAAATATAACCATTTTATTTACTGTTCAAAACCTCCAGTGAACCTACACGTGTCTTCTGAGTTTATATACATTATCTTATAGGTTATTGATAGTGGTGTAATGGTGAATCTGGAAAAAAGGTTTAAGCTCATAACCTTCCTTTTTAACAATTTCATGTCATAACGTTCTGTAAGGGAGCCTTTAAATACATTAAACACCCCAGTGTCTGGTTCCTATCACCACCACACAACAATTCTCTGAGTTTCTCTAGAACTGAGCACTTCACACCAAACCACACTGAATAACTTTGTTTGCATCTCAACCATTGAATTGTACAGAAATTCTAAACTCCCCTTTTAATCCATGCTTGTGAAACCAGCCCATAGTGTTTGGCTATAGCAGCCCCTTTTTTCAAGGCCTATGTAGATAATCCATCTGAGATTTAGCCAGAAATCAGATGCTTGCTTTGCAGTTTTGTCTCAGCATGGCTCAATACTAGTGCTGCATATTACTTTGGACTGCTTATCGGACTGATGTGTCTTGTTTTGCCCTCTCTTATAATGACTATACTATGATATACCTGGAATTGTTTAGCTTAGGCCTACTTGAAAATCACATTTAGGGTCGGTTTCCCAGACAGGCATTAGGCCGAGACCTGGACTGTACAGCACTCTGAATGGAGATCATCCAATGAAATGCATATTGCTGCTGTCGGAACAAAACCTTGTATCTACGAAATGGTAACTTTACAGGAGAAGGAAAAAATGTACTTTACTTTTAATGTAAGTCAATGGAACCAGACTTTTTTCCAAGTCATTTTGGGTCGTTTCTTTTGGTCCATTCATCATGAAATTTACACACAATGTAAAGAGCAACAGGCATTTTCACATTATGTCAAGAACTGGAAAACGGCAAAAATGAAGATACAAGGTTTTCTTCTGACAGCAGTGATATGTAATATGTTCAGGACTAGGCTTAATCCCTATCTGGGAATCCGATCCTTGCCATGTGCCTCAACCAACAGTAAACTCAGACTGTCAGTAAACTCTGGCCTATATCCATTACTTCATCATGGAAAACTGTTTAATATATAAAGTTAGTGTTAAAGCCCACCATTCACTCCCGCTTGCCCACACAGTCCATATACGGAAGGTGAGCTACAAAAACAGCCCGATTGAAATTCACTGTTTTTGTGATGTCACAAATATCAATATATTGACATTCACCTATTCAGCCTGCAGCAGTTTAGCTCCACCCATTTATGCTGGAGTGTTTCACCCTAGGCTGCTTTTTAAGGGGAACCAATCAGAACAGAGCTTTTTACATACATCATTCTTAAGTCACTAAAACAGCCCATTTAGTTCTACACACTTCTTCAAGGGTTCTTTGGTAAAGGCAGTTCTATTTCTTGCTTGAATGGTTCTGTACATACTGAAATGGTTCTTCAGATTGATGGAGAATGTGTTGTATATGGTCCTATGGAACCATTGTTTTGATGTCAAGCTTGTAACAATAGAAGAACCCTTTTTGGTGCCGTATAGAACCATATACAGCACATTCTCATGGAAAATGATCATGTAAGGAGAAAATACAATTGTTTTTGGAACCCAAAACCACACAAATCTTAAAAATGGAGGAAAAATACATAAAAAAAACAATATATGGGCCCTTTAATGTCGAATCAGACACAAACCCTGCCCACCGTCCTGTGCTCTCTTGTCTTGACTTGGGCCAGAGTAACATCTCTAAACACTTTGTGATGATTGTGTAGCCCCTGCTGACCCCCACCAGCCTAAAACTGTGAGTTTACCCAGAAGTGTAGGATCGCCAGCTGCCACTGTAGACGGCTAGCTTACTGGCTACGTCAGCGAGCAGGAAACAAAGCTGCCACAGATGTAGGCTACTGCGGGTCATTCCCTATAAATAGCATGTGGGATATCTGTGATATTAAAAGACAGGACCCCATCTCCCCCCACCATTCTTAGAGGACGGAAAGGACAGTCGTCATAACTGACTGGCTATTAATATGTGTAACACATCTGCCATTAAAGAGTAAAAGACCCTCAAACTGTTATCTAGCTATCCGCTAACCCTTCAACAGTGGTCAGTTTCTCTTGGCTGGACATTACTGGGTGGTGGACCACTCTCAACCTAGCAGTGACACTGAAGATCCTGTGATCAGAAAGTGACCAGTGATAAAGGTTGAGGGGGGCTAATATACTGTAGCAACAGACAGGCTAAAGTCTATATGTAGATGTGGACCCTGGAAGGGGAATTCCACAGATATTTCCAAATTTCAGTATAATTAAATGGTTGAGATGTAAACAAAGTCACTCAGAGTGGTTTGACGTGAAATGGGTCATTATACAGAAGATTACCAACTCAATGGTGGTGATAGGAACCAGGGGTCACCATGACTACAACACAGATATAGACATATTATTTACTATCCAAAACCATCAGTGAACCTATAGTGAGTTTTTTATGTCATGTTGATGATGGTAAAAAAGAAAGTCTGAGTTTTCATTAGGGATTATTTTGCCTTGCAACGTTCTGCATGAATGAGTTTGAAAAAAAATGTTTTAGGCCAAAAGCTTTCATGTAATAACTCTCTGTGAGGGAGCTTTTAGAGGTGGACGTCTGGTTCCTATCACCACCACTGTGAACAGCTCTGACTGTAAGTTTCTCTAGAACAGAGCACTTCACACCAAACCACTCTGAACGACTCTGATTACATTACTAATTAATTACCAATTAATTACATAGAAATTTTGAAAAATTGGTGGAGTTCCACTTTAAGGTAAGTGAAGCTCATAAAGTGGACAGTAAGTGGATGTATTTGCTTATCTGTAAACAACTTTAAGGTCCATATCCTACGGAGCCCTGCTGGTGACATCCTGTATAAATAAAAATAATGGGTGGCCACACCTTATTAACGCATGGGAACGAGATCCTAATGCGTGGCCACGACTTAGTAAGGTGTGGGGAAGAGATGATTAAGTCGTGGCCATAACTTTTGTAAGGTGTGGGAACGAGATCACGGCTTACCAAGTCGTGGCCATGCATCAGGATCTCTTTCCCACGCTTTACTAAGTCGTGGCCACGACTTAATCATCTCATTCCCACACTTTACTAAGTTGTGGCCACGCATTATTTTTATTAATCCACAAGTTAAACAGGTTGTTTTGTTACTGTGCCTTTAGGTATGACATATGTAAATGAGCTCTGTTCTGATTGGATGACCTGTACTGTGCCCCAGTCTGGGATGAAACACTTCTTATAACTTCAGTGTTAATGGGTGGGGCTAAACTGTTGCTGGCTGAATGTATATATGTGTTGGTTTTTGTGACATCACAGAAACAACTGATTAAAATGGACTGGTTTTACATCTAAGTTTCCACGTGGACTATATATTCACAGAAGTAAATGGTACGATTTGAAGGTTTACCAGTGTTTACAAAGTGTTTTATTTAAAAAAAGGTGAGGAAAATCCAGTTTTCAATGGTATGGGCCTATTAATAAACCGCACCTACAGCATTTTTACCTTGAAATATAATCATTAAAATACTTCACTTTGAAAGTACTAGCATGTTGCCCAAATTATAGACTGAAAGTAAATTATTCATTAAAAATAGATAAAAATTTTAAGCATCATTAGAATAGCCTTGATGTTCTCAAGCTGTTATCATGGATGCTAATTAACCTCATTTTGTATATCTGTGTACTCCTATGCTTAAAAAAACAACCCTGACACTGTCAGTCTTACTCATTTAAAGACACTGTAAAATTAAATAATAAAACATTAAACATTAAATATAATTTAAAAACCTCATTTATAGGAGTTACAAGTGCTACAATAGCGCCCCAATCGCTCTCGTACTCATTGCGTTTACCAAATAAGCTGCGGTTTCTGGCGCCGCCTCCTGGTCCGCCACTGGAACTGCAACAACTCAAGCGGATTACAGATCTGGAGACATTTCCCACATGACTCAGCGGTGCCTGCAGAGACACGAAGCGCAGTCATGATGCTGTTTGAGAAAGAGACACGTCATTTATGATCAATTTTTATTTTATTTTTTTTAAGAAAAATATTTTATATGCATCCGACCACGTTTTGGACCTGATACTGTAGCCGTTATTTATACAGAAATTGTTAAATCTTTTATCTTTCATGATTCAAACCAATGTAAATTCACCCCAGCCCCCCCAAAAAATAAAAATGCGGAATAAAAAGTAAAAATATAAATAAGACAGTTGAAATAATTTGCTTCTCATTCGAACTTTCCGTTCCACCTTAAATGGCGCAGCGGTTACATTCGGTGTCTGAGGCGTTATAGTTAAAACTGCTGCACCATTTAAGGTGGAGCGGAAAATTCCAATGGTTTTTGTTACGTTATATAGGATTTTGTGTCTGTTTCATTTGTGTGACGGTTGGTATTCATTTGTGTGCTTTGTAGCCACAATATACAGACCGAGTTTTCATTATTTATTAATAAATTAATTAATTAATTAATAAAAAGGACCCCACGTCAGGCGGTCGCTCTTCATTTCTCACAGTGGTTTAGCCGTTTTGGCTAGCTGAGGTTAGCCGGTCCCTCAGCATGGGTCACTTCCAGCGCCTGTTCGCGAAGCTGGATAAAAACAGGGACGGGTTTGTCTCAGTCCAGGAGCTCCACGAAGAGATGAGGAGGGTCGGGGTTGTGTGTGCGGATGAAAAAGCTCGGGTGAGTCGACGGGGGTCAAGTTGGCTTCCTATTCTCCAGCTTCTTGTTCGAATTTTTCCGGTCCACCTTAAATGGTGCAGCAGTTACACCCTGGCGTCTGATGAGCTACAGTAATAACTGCTGCAGCATTTAAGGTGGACCGGAAAAATTCGAATAAGAAGATGAGTTTAGCCGCGTGGTTTACGGACATCTGATACATGGACATATGTGCGTATATCATAAAGGGTCAGACATATATTTAAAAAAATATCTAGATATTTTCTGTGTCCATCGAATATTGGATATTTGATCACAATGTATGGACCATACATAGACGTCTGGTACGTGGTTGAATACATACCCGTACAGTTTTAATTGTTTCTATCAGTTTTACTCTGTTTGCTTTTAAATATTAATTAATATTTAATTTAATGTGTCAGTGAACAATATTTTCTTTATTGTTGTGTTTTAATGCTTCTACTTCGTAGTTTATAATGTACATATATTTAGGGTTATGTAGCCGGTATACAAATGTTCACTTCATTGTCAATAAAACAAACATGAAGCCAACATATATCAGTAATATGGAAATCCAGAGAACATTGTTATCCTGAGATCACGAGATAATTGTTATCTCAAGTTAACAATCCGGAAAATTAAAGCAACAGCTCATGGCCTCTTCAGACTTCTGAAGTAATATATGCCTTTCATATGTGAATAATGATATCTGTCAGATAGAGTTAAATATACTGCATACTTTGTTACCCTGTTCTTCAATGGTCAGGACCCCCACAGAGCAGGTACTATTTGGGTGGTGGGTCATTCTCAGCACTGCAGTGACACTTACATGGTGGTGGTGTGTTAGTGTGTGTTGCGCTGGTCTGAGTGGATCAGACACAGCAGTGCTGCTGGAGTTTTTAAACACCTCAGTGTCACTGCTGGACTGAGAATAGTCCACCAACCAAAAACATCCAGCCTAACAACGTCCTGTGGGCAGCGTCCTGTGACCACTGATGAAGGACTAGAGGATGACCACCACAAACTGTGCAGCAGCAGATGAGCTATCGTCTCTGACTTTACATCTACAAGCCGACAAGGTAGGAGTGTCTAATAGAGTGGACAGGGAGTGGACACAGTGTTTAAAAACTCCAGCAGCACTGCTGTGTCTGATCCACTCAGACCAGCACAACACACACTAACACAGCACCACCTCATCAGTGTTACTGCAGTGCTGAGACAATATATGGCCTGTTTGTGTTAACATGATAAAAATCTGCCACTTTTATCAGACGATCGTGGCAAACAGTGACCGTGATAAAGACGGCCGGCTGGATTATGAGGAGTTCCTCGGCTACATGATGGACAGAGAACAGAAGTGGAAAATAGACTTCCAGGCTCTTGATAAGAAAAACTGTGGTGAGTATTTTTTTCAAGTAATTAACCTAAAGGGAAACTCCACCGATTTTTCAACATTTCTGCATAATCAAATGGTTTGGATGTAAACGAAGTCATTCAGAGTGGTTTGGTGTGAAACGCTCTGTTCTGAGTCAGATTTGTTCACAGTGGTGGTGATAGGAACCAGACGTCCACCTCTAAAGCTCCCTCACAGAAAGTTAGTACATGAAATGGTTATGAATACTCAGCCTGATGGCCGAAACATTGTTTTATGACGGTTTATGATAGCCTGTACCAGCCCACTACAGCTGCACTTTGCCTTGAAATATAATCATTGATTATTTAATACTTAAAAAGTCATATTATTTTTGCATTAGCATTAATTAATCTCATGCATGAAACATCCTTTTTCATTAGGTGTCCATCATAGGTTATGAAACATGAACAACATTCCCTCAGTGCTGTTATCTGAACACATTGACGACTATGAAACAGCTGAAATATCTTGAAGTAACATATTTAACAGGAATTCACATTTATTGAATGTCCTAAGATCATAAGAAGATCATTAGAGGAAAACGTCTCATATTTTTCTTTATTTTCAGTCAAACTTTGTTATTGACTGACACACAGGTCACATTAAGAGCAAAACGCTGTTACTCAGTTACCCAGTTATTACATATAATGATTATAAATATGTTGCCTGTTGTCTGACAAATTGCTTTATGATTTTTGAGTGTTGAGTTTTTTTTAGCTGAAAATATAGTTTAAAACATATTCATGGCAGAGAAGTGCATACAAATAGTTTGTTTTTTCATATTTATCACTATTTTACCATCATTAACATTATATGCAATAACTCAGAGGACATGTGGAGGTTCACTGGTGGTTTTGGATGGTAAATAAAATGGCTATATTTGTGTTGTGGTGTGACCTCTGGTTCCCATCAATACCATCTGGTAGGCTTCTATACCCAGATGTACTGTAACACAGGATTTATTAAATAAACATTCTAGAGCAGAGGTCACTAATAGGCGGACTGCAGTCCGAGTCCGGACCCAGACGCTGTCCTATGCGGACCTGGACCTATAACTGATAAACTATGGAGAATTATTTAATTTCGACAGGGTTTTACTATTTTAATCGGCGAAGCTTTTCTAGGCTTTGCGGTGCCGGTTTAGCAGCCGGTGAGACTCACAGACCAATCGCATGCGTTGTAAATATCATGTGACGCTACCCAAGTTAGACATTATGATGTTCTGGACCTTTGCTTGAGGAAATTTTCTCTAACTGGACCTTACTGAATTTTAATTAAATACCCCTGTTCCAGAGTGTCCCGTCTGTCTTCTCTGTATTTTAATACAGTCCCAGTTCAATTGGATCAGATTGTTAATAGGTCGGCTGTGAGGGTAACAAAAAAACTATATTTTTTGTGAGGGGGGGGATCTTTCTTAGGGCTGGGCAGTATGACAATATATATCATTATTGTGATAAATTATGTCACATATCATGTTTATCATCAGTACTTGTAGAAAACTGACCAACCGCATGTTTCATTATAAAGAGAGCAAAATTATTCCCATTTAACTGGATTTAGGGCAACACAGTATGACAAACATTGAATAAAAATCATTATATTGACACTTTTTAAAATGTAGCATTTCTGGTCCTTTTTCTCTGTTCCAACTAATCAGATGTCTGAAAAAAATAAATATTGTGAGATGTATCGTGAAAATTTCTCGAAGTATCACAATATGTTTTTGCCATATTGTCCACTTCTAGTCTTTTCCTAATTATGCAGTCATATTTTGGGATAATATGTCATTATTTAGTTGCTAAGTTAAAGTTTTGACATACATAGGTAAGGTTCTTCTCTATCTGGTGGGAATGGGCTTCCATAAGAATGAATTCTTAACTCATTTTGATCGGGAAAAATTAAGAACATCTCTAGACTCACAGCACTTTTCTACAAACAATATAGAAAACATGTAAAAGTGCATATTTGGGGCCCTCTAGTGGTTCAGGAGTCCAGAGCAATTGCTTATACTGCTCACAGCAAGAAGCAGCCTTGTTGGAGACGTTGTACAATGCCATTGCCTTGTTAGATTAGAAAGTAATCTGTATTAGGCCCTTAATTATAGCTCTGGACATTTGTTTTAATTTGCATGTTTTACAGTGTATAGACCCCAACTTTAGGCATACATGTCTTGTTTACTGACTCTAAAATTGTAAAAGCCTCAGTTTATTTGTGAGATGTTGTGTCGTTTACAATAATCTCTTCTCTGATTAGGAGCCATTGACCAGGAGGATATCATAAATGTGTTTAAGGAATTAGGGGTGGTCATATCAAAGACGAACGCAAAGAGAATAATCCAGATGTAAGATCCGCTGCTGCTGCTGCTCTTTTTACAAACCTGTTTTTGATGGTCATGGCCGTTTCACATGAATACAGCTGCTGGGAACAAAACAGTTTCCCACAAAAGTTTAATGATGGAGAAAAGACTGTTTTGTTCACCAAAAAAGGCCATGGACATCACTGCATGCTTCACATCCCATCGCTTTAGGGTGGACACCCTGATACTGATAGTCACACCTTGTGCTGCAGCCCTGCTTTCACTCCTGCTGGAATAATTAGCCCAATAACGGGCGTTTATTTGTCCAATTTGCATTTTCTCCCATTTTCATAACTTCCAATAAGAAAATATTTATATTGTTATGAATGAACAGAGCACACAGTGTCACTGATGAAAAGTATCACTCTTCCAGTCCTTGTGGTCATTTCTACAGCCTCTTGCCCTTCAGCCAAGTCTATGATGTGCTTCACATCTAAGATCAAATAACACAGAAGGCTTAGCATTCACTGATTCAGTTTATTTCAGGGGTGTCCAAAGTGCAGCCACAGGGCTAAATGCGGCTCGTGGACAGATTTTAATTGGCCCATGTCTTTAGTTTATGAGCATGTTATAAATGGCCCGCCAGTCAATGCATTGCAGTTTTCCTTTCACCTGGTGGTGGTAGTATTAACACAAAATTACAGTGTAATGCGCTGCACTGTGGTAACGAAGTTAGCTAAAGTTTAAGAGCCTTTCTTTTCTGACTAGACTTGCAGCTTATATGACTGAATAATATTTAGTTAAAAATACAGCCATAAAGCACAAACTTGAGAACCGGCGATTTTGGCCAAATGAAAATTTGAATACTTTTTCATCGACAGCAACTGTCATGAGTTTAATATCAATACACATGACACAAAGCAAAGACGTTACAATAAATATTCAGGAGAGTCTCACAGCACAAACTTTTTCTCAGAGCAAATTCAGTAGTTCAGTTAATATTTAACCCTTTATAGCTGATAAAAAGTGGCTCTTTATGCTGTTTAATCCACTCTTCTCGTTTACTAAAGTGATTTCTGAACACAGTTACTGCTTTTATTTGATATATAAAGAACATGATCTAACACAACTGAAAAAAAATTGTAGATTTTTGTTTAGTCTGTCCCACAAATTATATTTTTAAACAAGCAAACACTTCAATGGGAATAGGCCTGTATTAACTATACTTAATACATTAGACATGTTTTATTGTTACCCTTAGTCCAGCGGTCAGCATCCCAAATGTTAAGAAGAGCCATTTTGTCCTTTCAACAAAAATCAAACCACCTTGGGAGACAACATTTAATGTCCATTTTACCATCTTGGCTGTAAATATGTCTCAGTATGTGCTGATGTTCTAGTATAGACTAAAAAATATAATACAAACAAAAACTCTTACTTTGCTCTGCTTTAATCTTTAGCTCAGCTGTAGCTGCTTTTCTCGCATCTCCAGCAGGAAACTTTTCCGCAAAGGTAGAACAGTTTCTTGTAAAATGTCTCTTAACGTTCGGATTTTTAACGAGGTTGAAGTCGCTTCTCATTCGCCAGCTACTTGTTCGAATTTTCCTGTTCCATCTTAAATAATTTCTGAGGCACCAGAATGTAACTGCTGCACCATTTAAGTGAAGTGCTTGTAAACGCAAATAAGTCCATTTGTCTCTAAATTATCGATGTTCATCTTAAATCTTTCTCTTTGCTGGTTTTTAGCTACTAGCTAGGCGAGATTGTTGTCAGTGTTGCTATGGTGGCCAGCGGTCTTCGCGCCAACTTTCAGGGTTAAAGCGTGAATTAGCAGTTCTACATTAACTCCAGTGTTTAAGACCATTTATTGTTAAACTGTGTTGAACGATCAGCAAAGCTTTATTTTACTGTAAAGGAGGATTATTTTATTATTACCTACAAATCTGATTCTGCTGTGGAGCCACAACAGGGCAGCAAAAGAGCCGCATATGGCTGCATGTTGACGACCGTTGACGACTGTCTTAAACACTTTGATTATTTGTTATAAGTGCTTTACTGACCCAGACAGCTCAGAACAATTCAACAATAAAAGAAGCTTCATGCATCTTTTATACAGTGATAGGAAACACAGTAGCTCACAGAAAGCTTCGATTCTAGGCACTCATATTTTTCAAACATAATATTTGGAAACATCTATGAATAATATTTTGGCCCCCAGGTATTTTGGCCTTCTTTGAAAAAAGAAGGCCAAAATACCTGCCTAATATGAATACCTGAACGAGTAAACAAACGCTGTGATGAGTTCATATATTCAAATAAGCTCCCCCAACCCCTCTTGGTGCTCCCCCCAGGTTTGTCTCAGACCTGTGGGAAACACTGTACTGTGCTTTACTGTATCATGATCACAATTTTATTTTGTCATATTTCACGCTCTGAGTTTTCCCCATGCTTGGTCCGGTATAGTTCTATAATTTGGTGTGATTGATCATGTGCTAGTATATCCCTGTTTCATGTTCTCTCTGTGTTCATCATTAGGATGGATGAGGACAACTCCATGACTGTGGACTGGGGGGAATTCCTGCACCATGTTATCATCAACCCAGCGGAAAATATCGGAGAGCTTGTGTCCTCATGGAAGCACACGCTGGTAAGGAGTGCAGTTATCCTTGGATTTTAGCCAATCCGATTGAATACATACTGATTGTAGATGAAGACTGAGGTGTTTATTCTCACTCTACTCAACACTCTGATGAAAAATCTCTGTTTACATGCTCACTACAAGTAATCAGATCCAAACTTTCGCATGTGTAGAAAACCACTTAGTGTAGACGTTACCATGACAACCAGCATCACGTGAGTCCAGTCAGAGTGAGATGAGCAGCAGTGAGCAGCGCTTGTGTTTTTGATTGCTTTAAAATGGTGTCAGACTCAGGAAAACGTCCTTCACATGTCCTTATTAAAGAAGGCCGAGAGTAAGATGTCGTGTTCTGAGACACATAAGCTGGACGTCCGTCCCACCGCCGTCTTTTAAAGATCAGAGCATAAACTTCGTCTCCTCTGCAGACCAGTTTCTGCTCCGCCATGTTGAACGTTATAAACTTTCACCATGACGTGACAAACATGATCAGAACATACTTAAACTCTCCGATAGGGAATGTAATCAGATACAGGCGTTTACACGGATATTATTCTTCTATTTAACAGATTATTTACAGGATTACCCACCTCGATCGGATAGAAACTGTATTCCGACTGGCCTCAATCGGACCAGTCTGTTCTGCTTGAGGTGTTTACATGGATGTATTCTATTCCGATTGAGCTATTAGTCGGATTGTTAACAGATTATCAAACTGCATGTAAACGTGGCTAATCATGAACTTCTGAAGATTAATTGTCGTATAAGTAATAGTGATTAAGGACATTTTCATGATACACGATATGCACCATGATTTAGTTGTTCTGAGATTTAATTGTTGAAACAGACAGAATAGCAACTGTAGCACCACATATAAAAATACTACAACAATAATAATAACAATTATTATAATAAACCTGCAACTACAATAATTTTTATTCAGTGTTTCACAAGCTTCACTGCACTAAATCCAATTAAACAGGCCTAATTATGCTCATGTTGTAATAAAGCATAGATACTCAGTGTTTTTATGCACTTTTTTTGTGCACTTAATCTGTTACTCAACTTTGACTCGTCCCTCTTACTGTGATATTATTCATCTCTCATGTTCTGTTGTTCAATTATAATACATTATAGTAGATTCTAACATTCTAAAACCTATGAAGTTGAACCTTCAGACCGATGCATTATGATAGATTTATCTAGTTGGCCTAGGATCCCCAAGTGTGAAGAAGTGGGTGTCTGATTGCACGTAGTGCTTCTGTCCGTAGGTGTTTGATGTTGGTGAGAGTCGATCTATGCCGATAGAGTTAACTCAGGAGGAGACGGACCTGTCAGTGTGGAGAAACTTCATCCTGGCTGCCGGTGCGGCTGATGCTGTTTCTAGAACTGTTACAGCTCCAATCGACCGGCTGAAAACTCAGCTACAGGTATTAATCTGACTCAACAGCTGCAAGTGACACAGACACAGCTTTATTCCTCACATCTGGGCTGGACTTCCCAAAAGCATCCCAGCACAAAGGTCATTGTTGAATGGTAGAGCGAGCACCACATAAAACACTGCCTCTACTGGTTAAAAGCCCTGATCAACATGACAGCATTTATTTATCACTGCTTTCTAAATAAAAATAAGATCATGCAATCAATTTAAAGACTGCACATTGTGTTTTTGCTAAAATAGGTCACATCCTGGAAAGAAAGTCAAACGTGACTTTGAAATCTGTGACAGGGAGATGTTTCGGAGGCTTTAATAGTAAAAAAACTGTTAATTTGCACAACAGTAGATAAGCAAGGTGATAATGTGAGCATTACAAACATGTATCAACATTATGAGTTACAGATTCTGTGATCAAGATGCCTTTTTTTATCTAGGTTTATGGATCCAAGGCTGTTTCTTTGGGATTGCAAGACCTGAAAACTGGAGGATTGAGGTCTATGTGGCAGGGAAATGCAGTCAATGTGCTTAAAGGAACTCCACAATCAACACTGCAGTGTTTCCTTTATGCCCAGGTATGTAGAGTCGAACTGTAATAACTACACACACTGCAGATTCATACTGGATTAAAATCACTCCACAATTATTACAGTCAGACTGTAAAACTACACACACTGCAGATTCATACTGGATTAAAATCACTCCACAATTATTACTGTCAGACTGTAAAACTACACACTGCAGATTCATACTGGATTAAAATCACTCCACAATTATTACAGTCAGACTGTAAAACTACACACACTGCAGATTCATACCGGATTAAAATCGCTCCACAGTTATTACCGTCAGACTGTAAAACTACACACACTGCAGATTCACACTGGATTAAAATCACTCCACAAATATTACAGTCAGACTGTAAAACTACACACACTGGATTAAAATCACAGTCTTGTCTGTAATCATATATGTTACAGTATTCCCCAACTAACTCTCTGTCTCTCTCATGAATTTCCCCGCTCTTTGCTGTCCTTCTCTCAGATGAGGAAGCAGGTCTTGGGTGAAAGAGACTATCTGTCAGTGGAGCAGAGGTTTGGACTGGGCTGTGTGTCTGGAGCTGTGGCACATGCTGCTTTTTACCCCCTAGAGGTATCGCAGAAACATGACAGGTCTGAATACCCAACTAGAGACTTTCTCCTTTACCTGTGTGACGTGGTGTTTCAGTATCATTTACTTTCATTAGCCCCCAAGTAGATGCATGACAGTTTAAAAAGATGTAGGCCAGCACAGTCTGTGAAAAAAAGAGAACTGAGTTTATGCTGTGCTACTAAAACTTTTCTCCCCAGTGATTTTCTACAATGGGAAATAGTTGCTTTAGCACAAACAGCCTTGCATTGGCAAAGACATGAAATGAGAATTTCACAGATTTGTCACATTTTTTGCACAGTTGAATCACTGAGATGTAAACAAAGTCATTCAGAGTGTTTATTGTGAAATGGTGCATTGTAGAGAAACTGGTTGCAATGTTTAGAGCGCAAATATAGCCATTTTATTTACTTCCCAAAATGACCAGTGAACCTACATATGTTTTCTGAGTTATTATTATGCAATGATAATAATGACAAAATAGTGGTTAATCTGAAAAGAAAAGAGTTTGGGGGGACTATTAGGGACTACTTTGCCTTAGAACACCCTCTGCTTAATGGACTGAAGGATTTAAAAAATATGTATTAGACCAAAATCTCATCTCAGTGCTGTCATAAAATAATGTCTCAGGCATCAGGCAGTGTATTCATAACCATTTTATTTAACGACTTCCTATGTTGCAGCGTTTAGAGGCATTAAGTGCTTTTGACCGTTCAGCACCACTTGAGTGGCACATTTGCAGCGAACCACTCTGAATGACTCCTTTTACATCTTAACCATTGAAATTTAATAGCAGTAATGCACACTTTGCTAATTTAAATATTTAATAGACATGTATAAAGGTGTTATTACAAATCAGCGGAGTGCTTCTCGATCTCAGGTGCTGAAGGTCAGGCTTAACGTGCAGCAGGCCGGCACTTACAGTGGACTTCTGGGATGCGCCAAGTCCATTTACTACAGCGAGTCTGTGTCAGCTTTCTACAGAGGTTTCAGGCCGAGCCTCCTCTGCATGATGCCCTATGCTGGAGTGGAGTGCGCCGTCCATCAGGTAAACAGGACTCTGACGGTGAGTTCTGTCAGTGTTCACCAGTGCTGGGCAGTAGCATCACTACAAGTAGCCAGCATATTAGTTTAAGTAGTGTGATGGTAGCTAGGCCATTGCTTTGGTATCCCAGGTGATTGCGGAGGTGTTCCAGGGCCAGGAACACTGCTCTAGAACCCCAGGTGGTTGCTAGGGTGTTGCTAGGCCAAAGCTATGGAAACGCAGATGGTTGCTAAGGTGTTGCTAGGCCATTGCTATGGAACCCCGGGTGGTGGTTAAGATGTTGCTGTGCTATCCCTGGTGGTTGCTAAGATGTTGCAAGACAATTACTATGGAATCCCAGGTGGCTGCTAAGATGTTGCTGTGTTATCCCAGGTGGTTGCTAAGATGTTGCTAGGCAATTACTATGGAATCCCAGGTTGTTGCTATGATGTTGCTAGGCAATTTCTATGGAATCCCTGAGGGTTCCTAAGATGTTGCTAGGCAATTACTATGGAATCCCAGGTAGTTGCTAAGATGTTGCTAGGCCATTGCTAAGGAATCCCAGGTGGTTGCTAAGATGTTGCTAGGCAATTACTATGGAATCCCAGGTTGTTGCTATGATGTTGCTAGGCAATTTCTATGGAATCCCTGAAGGTTCCTAAGATGTTGCTAGGCAATTACTATGGAATCCCAGGTGGTTGCTAAGATGTTGCTAGGCCATTGCTAAGGAATCCCAGGTGGTTGCTAAGATGTTGCTAGGCCATTGCTATGGAATCCCTGGTGGTTGCTAAGATGTGGTGAGGCTAGGCCAGATAGCAAATGTTGGATATGGTTCTATATAGCACCAAAAAGGGTTCTACTATTATAACAATGTCAAGCTTGTAACAATAGAACTCTTTTTGATATTATATAGAAAAGGTATATTAAAAGGGTTCTATAAGTAACACATTCTCCATCAATCTGAAGAACCATTTCACCATGCAAAGAACCATTCAAGCATGTCATGGTTCTATATAGAACTGTTCTAAATAGAACCACTATTTTTACCAAAGAACCCTTGAAGAAACATCGTTTTTAAGAGTGTAATCTGGAGCACAAGTTAAGAGTCTAGACACGTTGCATGATTTCCTGCTGAAACTTGTTAAGCATGAATGTTTGAAGTTATTACAAATTTGAATGGTAGCTATTTTGAAGAATCCGAGCACAAAAAAAATTTGTTAAACTATTTATTTTTTGTGAAAATACTCCCAAAATTATTATGTGGTTTAAAAAAAAAAGAGAGAAAAGTTTTCAGCAAACTTTTCACTAGTAGTTTGTAGTCATGTCAGTCTCTCTTGTTTATCCGGGCAGTCGATAATGAGCTGGGCAAGACGAAACCCCACCAACAGCAGTGACTCCAAACTGCTGTTCTTCAGCTTTGTGGCCTTTGCGAGTGGACAGGCCAGCAGCTACCCTCTGGCGGTCATTAGAACCCAGCAGCAAGCGCAAGGTGAGCAGTAAAAGAGTGGGCCCATATATTATATGGAAAAATTTCATACTCTGCCTACTGAATGTGCTGGATGGGTGCGTGTCAGATATTATGAAACCAGAGGAACCAGCACACCAAACTGACAGACACTGATGGCATTAAAATACCAAAAAAAAACCAAAGACGCTGTAGTTTACTGGTATTCTGCTGATCGTGTGGGATGTAAACATGTAATTTACTGGTAGTTTATTAATGATGTGGTCAAAAGTAAACAATGAGAACATTTTTAAAAAATGATACATTAAGTTTAATATAAACGAAATGTTTACATTTGCAACATTAATGCTGATTATAAAAAGCTTTATATTTCATTAATGACCAGTGTCTTTTCTCAATGAACTAATCACTAAAATCTCTCTCTTTCAGCTTTTACATCAAACTCACAGACATCTACCAACATCCTTCAAGCACTGGCGGGGATCTATGAGAAGAGCGGAGTGCGAGGCTTCTACAGCGGGATGGGGGCTAGTTTTGTGAGGGCCGTGCCGTGCGCCCTTCTGAATTACACCCTCATCTCTAAACTGGAAGAGCTGCTCTCCTCATATCTCTGATGCAGAATAAACATCTGCATAGACAAACACTAGATGTGTCTTGTATTTGTGTGCGTCTGCGAGCTTTCAGGCATTTTACTTTCTGTCACTTGATTAAAGTTGATAAGCCATCAGCTTATTCAGCTGTCTATTCAGCTTGGATGCACAAAAGAGGTTTACTAAGAACATGAAGTGTCGCTGATGCAAAGCCCTGCTCTTACAAAGCACCAAAAGCTTCTAGAGTCCTTGTGGAGAATCTTTAGACTGCTAAACACGAGTGAGTGAGTTAGTTAGTTAGACTTTATGTAAATGTTGTCAAAGCATTTGGGTGTGAGCTATGCAATGATCAATGTTAAATACATTTCGTTTTCCAGCATGATAGCAGCTTATAGTGCTCCATCAATACATATTAAGGTAAAAAATTAGAAATTTTGTGGATCATTTATTAGAAACCTTGTACTTCCACTCACTGGCCACTTTATTAGAAACGCCTACCTGAAAGGCATTGTGTTGGTTTGCCTTGTCATTTGCTAGAAATCTTCTGCTTCCACTCGCTGGATAATATTTATAGATAAGGACACACTATAGCAGGGGTGCACAACTCCAGGAGAGCTGTTGTCCAGCACAGTTTGGAGGTTTCCCTGCTCAAACACACCCACTAAACCTGGCAATTAACAGGTGAGTGTGATCAGGTGTGTTTAAGCAGGAAAATCACTAAACTGTGCTGGACGCCTTCCAGGACCAGAGTTGTGCACCCCTGCACTATAGATATAGCCTGGTGATGCATGATTTCTGCTAGTCGTCCTCTAGCCTTTTATCAGTGGTCAAGTTTCTGACCACAGAGCTGCTCTTGGCCGGGTATTTTTGGGTGGTGGGCCATTTTCAACCTAACACTGACACTGATGTGAGGAAAAACCCCAGCAATACCGCTTTGCCAGCGAGTGGAAGTATAAGGTTTCTCAGCCACCTGTTCAGTACAGTTTTATCAGTGTGATCTCATCAGTACCCAGCGGCAAACCATGGCTGTTAGCCTCAGGCCTTCAGTTTAGGCTGTAAATTTCAAAACTCGGACAAAAAGAAGGACAAAAGAACCTCTGCAATAATGCTAATTGCTGCTAGCACCCCTATAACATTCCAACAGCAATTCACGTGAACATTGTTCAGCTGTTGTAGGTTAAACGTGAACCTTTGAGGCCGGTAAAAGGCATTCCATGTTTTATCTGAAGCTTCTAACAGTCATACCAACATATATTTTACCTTGTATTTTTTAAAGGCAGCTTAGATGTATACCTGTGTCCATGCTGATGTGGTTGACGTCACAGTGGACAACGCTGCCTTAAGGTCAGTGCAGTCAGCAAAGCATCGAGATAGCTCCCTTCAGTTTTGGACACAGTTGTAGATTTGGCCAAAGGTGTTATAATGGAGGATACCAGGCACTGGATGAAATATAAATGGGAACGCTCAACACAGCGTCCGTCCGAAAATCTCACCCTCCAAAAAAAGGCCTTGCTGGTTATGCCCTGAGTGGGGAAGGACCTCCCTCATTGTCAAGATCTGTGCAGGCACAGTAGCCAAAACAACCTAAAAACACATTTTTATTGTGTTACTGAGCCAAATGCTACAGACTATTTATGAGGTTTGTCAGATTTTATCAGTGATTTCAAATGTTTTTAAACGGTAATTTGGCCTTCAGGTTTGAGGTTTCCAGTCTCTCATTCAGAAAGAGAGGAGTCCGGTCTTGTATGGCTGGAAATAACTGTATAGCGATGTTACCAAGAAGGCCGCCAAGCGAACAGACTGTCCTATAAGGACTTTGGTCTGGCCTTCTTCCGAGTGGAGAGGGAATTTTAAAATAGTACTGAAACAGGAGTGGGATCTGTACTTTACTCAGGTATTATTGGAATTGAATACTTGCACTTTTACTCAGTTACATTTTCCAAGAGAAAAACACAGAATTCCTCAAACTTTCATTCAGACTTTAAAAGGCCAGGAGATTTCTTTCTTTTTTCTCTTACCAACCGGTCAAGCTTCTGTGCGTTTTCATTTATCATTTTTATTGAAACATCCAGCCACGTTTATATCAGGGCTAAATGACCACCAAAGAAAACTTTTCATTTATTTGTTAAGAGTATCAACAAGTTCCACCTACTTTCACACTCTATACTTCCACAGTTAATTGGTGAGATTTTGGCAAAGTACTTACTCAAAGGGGAACTCCACCTATTTTTTTTTTATTCTACATATTTAAATGGTTGGAGATGTAAACAAAGTCATTCAGAGTGGTTTGGTGTAAAATGCTCCGTTTTAGAGAATCTTACAGAGTCAGAATAGTTCACAGTGGTGGTGATAGGAACCAGATGTCTGAAGAGTTTCATGAAATGGTTAGATATAAACTGCCTGATGTCTGAGAAATTGTTTTATGCTAGTTTCTGTAATAAAGTTTCAGCTTAAAATGTAGTTTAATCCATTTATTTTAATCCATTCATGGTGATGTGATACTTGCAGGGTACTGTGAGGCAAAATAGTTTCCAAAGAAAGCTTACTTTTTCTGATTTATCACTATCACCAACATTACATATATAAACTCAGAAGACATGTGTAGGTTCTCTGATGGTTTTGGATAGTAAATAAAATGGCTATATTTGTGTTGTAGACATGGTGACCCCTGGTTCCTATCACCACCACTGTAAAGGCATCCGAGTCTCTACAATGAGCCATTTCACACCAAACCACTCCGAAAGACTGGATTATTCAGAAATTTAGAAAAACTGGTGGAATTCCCCTTCAAGTATAACATCTGTGTATGTGTTTTTTCACACCACTGAAGGTTTCCAGCAATAACAGGTCAGTCCACAATCAAGGTGGACCTGCAGTGGTAGCTGTTTCTAATAAAGTGGCGGATGAAGGTACGTGTGATTGACATCTTTGTCGACCAATAGGAATCACCGCTCGCCCCGCCCACTCTCCCTCCTCCGGGCCGGATGATGTGGCCGGTGTGACGTGTACTGATCTCCAGCATCATGGCGTCGCAGCAGGGCGAAGTGGATGAACTCTTCGACGTGAAAAACGCCTTTTACATCGGCAGCTACCAGCACTGCATTAACGAAGCTCAGAAAGTGAAGGTATAACGATGGTTTAAAGCGTTTTAACACTGTCGACAGCGGAGATTTAAGCGAGTTTGAGGCGGTTGTGTTCGTGCTGTCAACCGGCTAACCGCCGTTAGCTTAGCGTAGTCAACACAACATTAGTCAGCTGTCCGGGTTTGTTGAATAGCGGTCATTTTGTGGATATTTTACTGTACACTGCGTATATATTCCGCTTTTTAATATAACAAATGACCACAGCGGCTCTTAGAATTGCAGGAGACTGGCTGTCTGACTTTTCTAGCTGATTCTCCAACTTCTTGTTCCCGTTCCACCTTAAATGGTGCAGCTGTTACACGTACCAGTTAAGGTGGAGCGGAAAATTCGAATAAGAGGAATATTTCAGTCTCGTTTGCCACTCAGAGAACACGTTTCTCAACGCTAAGAGGCTGATTCCCAGACCCAGATTTAGACTAAAAGCGGGCTAAATAAGCTGCAGTTGTTAATGGTGAACCACATTACATTGCAGTTCCAAGACCTGGCCTAATCCATGTCCACAAAGCTAGCTTTAAAAGAGAATTCCACCATTTTTTCCCCAAAGTTCATGAATAATTCAGTCCTTGAGATGTAAACAGAGTCAGAGTGGTTTGACGTGGAATGGTTCATTGTTGAGAAACTTAACAGACTCAGATTTCTTTACAGTGATGGTGATAAGTGACTCAATTTATAGCCACCACTGTAAAGAAATCTGAGTCTGGACTAATAAGGGTCACTTAACAGACTCTTCTTTACAGTGATGGTTATAAGTTAAGTGACTTAACAGACTCAGACTCCTCTAGCTAGTACTCCAACTTCTAGTTCCCGTCCCACCTTAAATGGTACCGCAGTTACACGTACCAGTTAAGGTGGAGCGGAAAATTCGGATAAGAAGAATATTTCAGTCTCGTTTGCCACTCAGAGAACACGTTTCTCAACGCTAAGAGGCTGATTCCCAGACCCAGATTTAGACTAAAAGCGGGCTAAATAAGCTGCAGTTGTTGAAACACATTACACAGACTCACATTTCTTTACAGTGGTGGTTATAAGTGACTTAACTTATCGCCACCACCGTAAAGAAATCTGAGTCTGGACTAATAAGGGTCACTTAACAGACTAATTTCTTTACAGGGGTGGTGATAAGTTAAGTGACTTAACAAACTCAGATTTCTTTACAGTGAAAAGAAATCTGAGTCTGTTAAGTTAAGTGACCCTTATTAGTCCCGCAACGGGGAAATTTCACTTCCGCGTTTAACCCATCCATGCAGTGAAACACCACATACTCACTAGTGAGCACCCGGGGAGCAGTTGGGGGTTAGGCGACTTGCTCAGGGGCACTTCAGTCACGTACTGTCAGCTCAGGGGATCAAACCGGCGACCTTCCAGTCACAGGGCTGGTTCCCTTACCTCCAGCCCAACCAGGGGTCACCATGACTACGACACAAATATAGACATTTTATTTACTATCCAAAACCACCAGTGAACCGACATGTGTTCTGAGTTTTTATAGGTTTTATATGGAATGTAGATGATGGTGAAATAGTCATAAATCTGGGGACTATTTTGCCTCACAACACTCTGCATTTACCTGTGCCAGATTATAATAAACGGGTTAAAATACATTTTATGATCACTTGATCATAAAACGATGTCTCAGACATCAGGCAGCATATATCTAAACGTATCTTTGTGAGGGAGCTTTTGGAGACATTAAACATCTGGTTCCTATGACCACCACTGTAAGCAATTCTCACTCACAAGCTTTTCTGGAACGGAGCATTAAAGTTCCCCTTTAAGTATATTATTTACCTGTTATTTATTATTTATTTATTATTTAATATAGAGGTGGGCCATATGACAAAAATATTGTGATACTTCAGGACATTTTCACAATAAACGATA